GAATGGTCTGGGCGGTGCTTAGGTGCACAGGGAGCCCAGGAGAAGCATTGCTAGGGGAAGAAGGCACGTCACAGAGTGTGTGCTGCCTGCGGCTCTGAGCTGTGAGCACATCAAGGCACAGAGGGACAAGGTGTTGTCAGGTGCCCGAGCAGCTCCTGGGCACTGTGGAAGTCCCTGAGCTGACAATAGCCCCGTGAGGATGGGAACCGTTGCTTCTGCAAGACAGAATACAGGTCATCTGAGCAGATAGCATTCTAAGCACTTTTTGCATTTTAAATGATCAGGATTAAGTGAGTTCAAAGCACTTCAGAGCAAGCCAGGCAAACATGTGCGGGCTGTTACTCTTTCCATCTCCATTTAACCCCTCGATGCCGGTCCTTTTGGATGGGGGACCATTTTTCATAACAAATGCCTACCTACTAAGTGACCTGGAAAACTTCATTCTGTGTCCAGCGCATTGACGCAGGCCTGTGATCACAGCTACTTAGGAGGCTGAGGCAGGCGGCTCACAAGTTTGAGGTCATCTAGACAACATGGCAAGATCCTGTCTCAAAATTTAAAAAATTAAAGGTGGGGAATGTAACTCAGGGGTACGGTGCTTGCTAGCATGTATAAGGCCCTGGGTTCAATCCCCAGTACTGGCCCCATCCAAAAAAAAAAAAATCATTCCAAAGAACATACTCTGGCATACACTCTCTGCTACTTTAAAATCTCCAGTTGATGGGCTTCCGAGTTCATTGGCTGTGGGTTTTCCAGGCCACAGCCTTGCAAACATTATCCCCGATTTATGAGGCATTGCTGAGAAGACCCCCTGCCCCAGGCATATTCCCCACCTGGTTTTGACAGTGTGTTAGACTCTGAAGGTCAGCAATGTCAGTGTGACCAGGCTGGGTGAATGCTGTGCTTGGGTCCCCTCCTGAGGTTGCAGACAAGATGTCACCTGAAGTGTCCATAGGGCCCTTGAGGATCCACGTCCCTGGTGGCTCTGTTCCATGGCTGGCAAGTGCCCACGGGCTGTTGGCAGGAGGCCCCAGACCTGTTCCTTACTGGCCTCTCCATGGGGAACTAAAGGAGTTTTCTTGTACAGACTTGATTATATTTTATCTAGAAAGAGAATCAGTAATTACATTGTTAAACACTTTGATTTACGATCAATGAGAACACATCCTGTCGCGATCCATCAGCTATTTATTTTATAAATTTGGACCACACAGAAAGAAGCCTTCTGACAACCTATGGAAATAACCCTTAGGCAATCCTTTCTGAATCTTAAGACCTGTATTATGTTTATCTTCAACTTTTTTTTTTTTGGGGGGGGGGGGGGGGGGGACCAGGGATTGAACCCAGGGGTGCTTAACCACTGAACCACATTCCCAGCCCTTTTTTATTTTAAGACAGGGTCTCGCTAACTTGCTTAGGGCCTCACTAAGTTGCTGAGGCTGACCCCCAACTTGGGATCCTCCTGCCTCAGTTTCCTGAACTGTTGGGATTACAGGCGTGCACCACTGCGCCTGGTTACCTTCTAGTATTTTTAAACCCCCTGCAAAATAAAATTATCCAGGCAGCAGCCACAAAGAGATGAACTCGGTGCTTCTGCAATTTATTTTCTTGTAAGAGAGCTCCTCAGCCTCGGTCCTTGACTTTTTGGCCTGGATGAATCTTGGTTGGGGGTGGGTGCTGTGCATCCCCTGTAGGAGAGCTCCACCTGTGGTCATGGTGTGGAGGAGTCTCTCCCGATGCCTGCTGTCCTGGGGCGGGGGTAGGAGGGAGGCAGAGACCTGATAATCTCGTGCTTTTATTTGAAAGTGCTTATGCACCCAGTAGCACATGCGTCTGAATGGGAAGGTCATTTTGTTTGCCCCCAACAGAAAAATAGCCTGGTATTCTTGGCCACAGGGCAAGTGGCTCTTAGGCTGGCAGGTCCCCAGCTCCTCTTTGTGGGGTTGCTGCCTTTGTTGTCTGCTTGGCTTCTGTAGCCACGTCCCCTTCTCTCCCCCTAGGTCAGGACAGCCGAGCTTCTCTCCACCTCTCCTGCTTTCCTCTCGGGTCCTTAGGAAGGAGTAGACTCATCTCCAGAGAGCAGAGGAGGACAGTGGCACTGTTGGGTAGGTACTCCCGGGGAATGCGAAGTCGATGCCCAAACATACGCTCGTGCGTGCGCATTCAAAGCAGCACCGTTCCTAGGGGCCAGATGCTCATCACCTGCTGGACCATATGCAATCCATTGACGTAGCGGAATAGTATTCAGCCATTAAAAGGAATGATGTGTGCTACACCTGATGGAAGTGAACATGCTCTGTGAATGAAGGTAGACACAGAAGGTCATAGACCATGCAGTGTGGTTTGTACCGACAGGACGCATCCTGCATGGGCAAGTCCAGGAAGTCGATCTGCTCGTTGCTATAACTCAGAGAAGGGAGTGGGAACAGCCTCCTTACCCAGGTAGAGGATTCCCTTCTGGAGTGGTGACAATATTTTGGAAATGGGTATAGGTTCTAGTCACGTAACATATATAAATGCCACTGAACTGTGCACTTTGAAATGGCTAGTTTTAGCTGGGCATGGTGGTGCATGCCTGTGACCTCAGTAGCTCGGGAGGCTGAAACAGGAGGATTGCAAGTTCAAAGCCAGCCTCAGCTACAGCATGGTGCTAATAACTCAGTGAGACCCTGTCTCTAAATAAAATACAAAATAGGGCTGGGGATGGGCTTTCTGAGGTGACTTAAGTACCCCTAGTTCAATCCCTGATGTGGTACACCATTCATTCACCTAGCATTCCTTGTGTATGCACCCCATGACCAGCCTATGCTGTAGAAATCTCACGGCCAGTGGTATGTTTTTTTTCTTTACACATTCTGTTACTGGTGCATTATACTCACATGAAATGGTGGGATTTGTGGTTACACATTCTCATATGCAAACAACAGAACAATTCATGGGGCCAATACCTCTCCCCAGCAATGACAGCGTTGCAAAGGCAAAACCCACGGTGTACGTGTCACTTCTCAAATCTGCTGGTCCACTGTCTACAGAAGTTGGTCTTGGAGCTGCACACCTGCGTCACAGCAAGCTGTAAGACGTGCATGCGTGACTTAAAGGTCAAGGTGAATGCACCAGGGAAGGAGGGCTGGTGGATCAGGAGTTCGTCAATTATTTTGTCATATTTGATTACAGCCTTAATTGTTTCCAGAACTGTATCGGCCCAGGCTCTGTTTTGACCTACTTTTCGTGGGAAGGCAGGTGCTTTCTGAGTTGCGAGCGCAGAGACCCCAGGGTGTATGTCGGCCACACCAGGAGCCCAGGGCAACAGGACACGGAGACTTCTTTTTGTATCTGTCAGGTCATGCCGTTTGGGAAAAAGAACATGTTGCAGTTATTAACATCATTTGTGTTTTACACAAATTCTTCACTTACATCAACATCTCTTGCTGGCACAGTTTACTAATAATGATTCTACTGAAAATGGAAGTCGGTCATGACCAGATATCCGGGGGTTGGATTTCTCGTTTTCATGTATCGTTTCTATCAATGAGCTAATTAGTTCTGATGTCTGGCGTAACCACAGAATGTTATAAACCAGAGTCGCCATGCCCAATTTTTTTCTGTGTTGATCACACGTAGGAGAGTAGTTAATTACACTTACAGAGTTTTGCAACATATATAAAAGATAATCTTCAACTTCAAGACTCTAATTTGTGAGTTACCATCTGTTGTGGACCAAAGAAAATAGGAATTTCATTTCTAAGGCTTTCTTTTTCCCTGAACAGCTTGTAATAAGAGCTGTCTGTATATTAATTACTTATTGAATTATTATGGATTGTAATGTTTTAATTTACAGGCAATTTGGAGCTTATTGTGGTGAAATCTGCTCGTATTTTTATACTTGATGACATTTAGTAATTTCATCATAAGGCTTTACTCCCTGCCCACTCCCCACCCCTCATAATTTACAGCCCAATCCTGCAAACAGTGATTTGCTTTCTGCTTCCACTTACTCTAACAAGTACTGCTGTGTTTATCTCCACTAAAGATTTTTCTTTCCATAAATCAGTGGGTTTTTTAAAAAAAACTTTAGAAGCGAAATCAATATTCCTTTGTTGCTGCTTCATTCCTAAGCCTTTTAATTTCTGGAGTTGTGGATGTATTCTGTATAAATCTCATTACTCTTCTTGCCTGGTGTTACTTTCATCTTGTATATTCTTGGGATTTCTTTTTTCTTTCTTTTCTTTAATGCGTTGTAATGAAACCTGAAGGCTCATGAACCTGCCTGTAGAATCTCTTTAATTTCCTTCCTTTAAACAGTATTACTATAAACACAACTCGGTGGGAATAATTTGCTTGAACTTCCTGAAAACAATTTACGGGGTTCCTTATAAATTCACTAATAAGAAACAGCTTGAGCATGCAGCCTCGTGTGGATTTGAATCATGTTAAACCTGGTACCTTTTGATTCTGACTGAAAACTGTTGAGTAAGAATTTAAAGAAAATGACGGTCATTTAATTGTCTTGGTTACTTGGTTTTTAGATGATTCTGGATAATTTCAAGTCTCTAAGAGACTAGGTTCATTCCCAACCCAGGACAAGAAGTTTCTTACGGACAAAGGGGAAATGGCCCATTTGTAGCAACTGAAAAAATAAAAAGAGTTGTGCATAGTTTATCATCTGCACTAAGGTATTGTCCGAAAACAAAGATGGTTTGGTGGACAGTCGTTTGCCATAAAATAACCAGCAGTAGCAATATCTGAGCTAAAAGTGGTTTTATCTAACTTGAGGCTCTTTTCTGCCATCATTTTTACATGCCTCACTGGCTATTTTAATTTCTCTTTTGGGTTGTTTTGCTTTTTGCTTTGCATCCAGCACCCTGTCATCTGAGCTCGGGATTAAGGCAGCAACCTTTAGACACCATGAAGGACAAACCTGAAGGCCTGGGGGTGGGGTGACAAGCCAGCACACCCCCAGAGATCTTTAAGTCTGTTTCTCCAATCTTGTTTCTCCCCAGGCTCGTGCCTGCAGACGGTCTGCGGAGTTTATGATCGGATGCCGGGCAGCCCACTGGTCCAAAGGTCTCCACATGACGTCACCGTAACGGTAAGCAGCCCATGTGCCCTGGGTGTGCTAGTCCTGCTGTCCGAGATCCATTTGAGAAGCATTTCACCAAAGCTGAACCCTTGTTTTAAAGTGATCTCCCCCACCTCAAAAAAAAAAGAACTTGCAGATATTCCTCTTTGTAGAAATTGAAGGTAGTAAGAACATCATCAAAGGCTTATAAGCTATGTGGTCAATTCTGCATGAGGAATTAGCCTTGTGATGCCTTCTAAGAATTTTGGATCCTGGACCGACTATCATAAACTTTCCTGAGTCTTGCCATGAGAGGGAGACACCATCGAAAATCAATGTCTCTTGTCAACATTATGAATTATAATTAAGCTGAAGCATTAATTATAATTGGGCACTTGAGTATAGATTTTACTTGGCTCCTGTACCTTAATTCTATGCTTTATTAGTTTCTTAATATGATTTGTGTCTATCTGCAAATTGACTTGCTGGTTAACCTTGAAACTTATTAGAAAATCATGTAGGTCACTATGTATAAATCTGGTGACATGCCAAGCTTTCCAAGGTAGCAGAGAAAACAGTTACATGTGTACAGGTGTCGAGTTGAAGGCCATACACACAATCAAAATTGACACCCAGAGAAGTTCTGTGAAGTTGTTATCTTGACACCTGTGGGTACCAGGGAGAGGTGCTGTTTTGATTGGGTATTAATGTGGTGCTTAGGAAACATTAGTGTCAGTTCAATAAATTAACTATGCATTGATCAGATTCCTACTATAAGACATTTGTAAGTGACTTGGAATTTTTTCTACTCTCCCATAGTGAGCAACTTGTAGATGGCCCTCTGTGATCATCCTCAGAAATGGGACTGTGTTGTTCCATTTAGTGGGAACTATAGTAGCTGTAGGTCTTCCATAAGGCTGGGAATAATCTGCAAATAACACATTAGAAAGTGAGGGCTTCTGACTGCACCGTTCCAACGCGCGCCTGTCAGTCATCTGTAGCATGCTCTGATAGTGTCTTCTTGGATGTCAGTTTTAAAGTGCTTGGTATGCTCATGAGGAAGGTCCACATTTCGAAGTGTCACTGTTTACGTTATCAGTCAAGATGGATTTCAAACCAGGAAAAGACAAGATAATTGCTCTCTGATGTAGATGTGGGAAAATGCAGGAAAGACTAAGAGCAGGTATCAGTTTTATTAGTTCTTAGTGTGGTTGTTGGTGTTACTCTAAGGAAATATCTGAGCCTGGTTGCTTAGAGGGAAAAAGGGTTTATATGGCTCGCAGTTTTAGCGGGTGAATGTCTAGGCAGTGCAGGGCCAACCCTGCAAGGGCTCCCTTAGCTCTGTGACCTCATGAAGTTCACACAAGAGGGATCATATAGCAAGACAGGAAACAGAAAGGGCTGATCTTGTCACCTTCCACTAGCCTCTGCAGGCCAGATGACACGGGTAGATGACCCCACTTACGATGCTAACACTGGAAAGAGACTTTCTATGGCCCAGATGAATCCTATATATTTAGGTGGAAAATCAGTGTTTATAGAGGTTTCATAACCAGCCCATGTGTGTTCCTGAAATTCGAGGGTCTGGTGCACATCATGTGGAGTCTCTGTTCCTCTGTCTCTGTCTCTCTCTCTCTCTCTCTCTCTCTCTCTCTCTCTCTCTCTCTCTGCAAACTGATTCTGGCTAGAAAATCAGTTGTAATGATCTGGACATTGGAAATATTACCGCAAACACCCAAGTCATTAGAAAAACAGGACAAACTACTCTTGTGTGGTAGCAGTAGCTCTCAGTGTCAGTGTTCCCTGAGCAGACCTGCTTGAGAGGCATTGGCTTGGAATCTCGAATATGAGAACTTGCATCTAACTGTAGAGAGGTGAATGTTAAAGGGAACATACACTGTTCACCATGTCTGTCACCTGGCTCCGGAAACGAGCTTTATAACAGGTTTGCCTTTACTAGATGGAGCGTTTGGAAGAAGGTGTGCTTCTGGGCTGGCCTCCAAGCTCTTTTCTATCACTTAAACATCTGCGAATGTGCACAGGGGTTTGCATGAAGTCTCAGCCAGCCATTCACTAACCCACAAGGGCAGCCAGGCCTAGAGAAGACTCTTTCTGAGTGCCTCTTTGGGAGGTGTTGTTATGCCCCAAAGAGCAGAGTTCTTCTCCCAGCAGAAGACTTGTTGGGGGCTTTCCCAACCCTGTGGTTTCATATTGCACCGAGTCTCACACAAAGATATCGACAGGTTTCAATTATTTATTTACTACAAATAAAAGCAACTTAGTGAGACCCTGTCTCAAATACAGACAGTTGCGAGTGCACACACACAGATTAAGTCCAACACAATTCCACCCCTAGAGATAACTGTAAGCACATTTTGAAGCGTGTATGTGCAAAATTTAGCCCTGTGCATGGTCCACTCAAAGCCATTATTTTGCTAACTTGTAAAATGGCAATAATAGGAGTAACAGCCATATTTATGTCAGAATTGTGACAGGTCCTAGAAAGCATTTAGCACTTTATGCTTGCTAAGTATGAAGCATTGAGTACATGTGACATGTTGCTTTTTAAAATCATTTTAATGGCTACGTGGTATTTCCCATGTTTTTACCACAGTTTATCTAACCACGTCATCTTTGGGTAAAGAGCTACATACTGGCTTCAACACATAGGAGGAAAAGATGTGCAGGGTCATAGAAGAGAGCTGGTCCCTATGCAAGACTTGAGAGGAGGTACATCTGGATTTACACGTATATGAAAAGTTTGATCTTAGACCAGCTCATATTGGCAAAATGAAAAGAAACTCGAGAAAGACATTATAGAGAAAGCATCCAGGGAGTCTGTGACCGAGGCAGCAGAGAACCCGTTCATTTCCACAAAGAAGCACAGAGAAGGGCCCCTGGATGAGCCCCTATGCCAGCTGCCTGGCTCTGAGTGTAAGACCTGAGCCCTCGTCCAATTACCCCTGCTAATGGAGGCTTCCAGACCGAAGGCCAGCAGGCTGCCAACGGGAAGGAGACACACATGACTTGTCTTGAGAGAGGTGTCTCCACAAACGCCATTGGCCTATGCTAGTTTTTTTTTTCTTTCTGTTGAAGCAGCACAGAGAGTGTGTTGTGGCTTTAACTGCAAGTAGAAGGGGTTCTTTTTCCCCCTTTTTGCGTAATCACAGTTCCAAAGACCTCAAATCAACATAATTGAAGGTGTCTCTCATCAAAAACTGGGTCAGGCAAGAAAATAAACACGGTTGCTCTAATTAAGAACTCCCTGGCCTTCGCCCTTCTCTGGGGCGAGGAGGATCTGTGAACCGTGCAAAAGCTCCCTTTTAGTTTGGACGCTGGGAGGGGTTGGAAAAGATCCACCCGAGTTCTCAGAAGTGCAGGGCTGGAAGCCTTTCCGGAAACTGCTTCAGAGTTAGAGAGGCTTGGGTTTCCGGCTGCACATTCTAGAAGGATGCCCGGGCGCAGGCCTCTTTGACGGAATATGTAGGCGCGGCCTTGCCTGGCTGAGTGTCCCTCGTCAACTGGTAGGGCTGAGGGACCTGTGGGGACGCGACGTGTGCTGCCCTGGTCCAACGTGCGGTGGGTCCTGCTCTGGGTCTTCATCTCTAGCCAATACCCTGACAGAGCCAGTGAGTTCAGAATAGGTAGGAGCCCTCGGCCTGATGAACCTCAAATTGGTCCATACTGCAACTGTCACGGGCATCCGTGGCTTCATGCCACTTGTCCACAGAGAATCATCTTTGACAGAGAAGACGGAGGTGGCCTCCTCTCTGCAAACATGCTTGATCCTTCACCCTGAATGCCATCACAGAAGTTGGTCCTCTTGCCCCGAGACGAGGGGGGGGGCATGAGGCTTGTCATTAAAAGTGAGATCGGCCAGGTGTGGTGGCATACACCTATAATCTCAGCAACTGGGGAGGTTGAGGCAGGAGGATCTCAAGTTTGAGGTCAGCCTGGGCAACTTAGTGAGACCCTGTCTCAAAATTTTGAAAAGGACTGGCTGTGCAGCTCAGTGATGAAACCCTTGCCTAGCATGTGTGAGGCTCCATCAAAGCTTGGGACCACCACCACCACCAAAAAGGGGGGGGGGGGGTATTTTTATAAAACACCCTTCCCTGTATGCACACACACAAAAAAAAAACTCCTGAACTTTTTCTCTGTCTAACCTTGCTTCTTGCAGATTCAGAGGTCTTGTCCCCATCAGTCAAGAATTTAGCTCTTCTATGAACCTTCCTTTCTTGGAAGACTGCCACTTACTTCCTCAGGATACCTTCGGGGACAGTGGGGAACTTTACATGACTTGTACAGACACTAGGTGCCCAGTAATTATTTCTATCTCCTTGGATCTCACTTTTCTTAGTCACAGAAAAAGTGGGGCAGAATTTTTTTTTCTTTTTCATCAAGCGTGAGTAAGTAGGTGCTCATGTGATAGGAAGAGCTGGTTCCCAAAGTCATCTCATTCTCTGCGTAGAAATTGTATGTTTAAAGGAGTTTGTTAAAAACGATATGCAGTATTGGTGATACTTAAATAAAGCCCACAGGAGGACTTGGAGTCGTTATAATATCTGCCATCTCTGACACCTCAAACCAAAGCCAACCAGTGTCCCATTGACCCTCAGTTCAAAAATCTGGATCTTTGAGGAAGAAAATCAAAAGTGAGGAGGGGGCTGGGGGATTCACTTCTTGGTGGACATGGGATCGGCCTTTGGCGGAGGCAGCATGGTAGCAATGGCCCCCTCTTAAAATAGGGGGTGGAAAACATGATGGAACCATGTCAGGAATGTCAACCCTGGGACCTCAATTCCAGGGGGTCCTTGCCAGGGGCGGGTTAGAAAGTGCTGACCGGCAAAAGTGCTTTTTGTCAGGGGACACGAGGCAGGCCCAGGAGCATGTCCTGTGGCCTCAGCCTGCTGTTTCCTCCTTCAGGTTAAACCATTGGTTGCTCAGGGGTTGTTCTGTGTTCCTGACCCTAAGGGTAGAAATTATAAAAGGCAGACTTAGAGGAGGTAGAATAGTCACCCCCAGAGACCCCGTGGGTCACTGGCACCTGGGAATGCAGGGCAAGGCATGCGGAGTTAGTCCACGGATGCAGTTTCTCTCTGCTGTGAGATCCTGACTCTGCCTCGGTCTCCTCCTCGTTTGTAGCTTGCAGAAAAGTGAGACCAGACGCTCTCCAAGGTTGGTCATCCCAACTGCTCTGACCCTTGCAGGCAGGGTGACATCTGCCCTCCCCTGCATGGTGCCGGTTTATCTTTCCAACTCGGTTACCTTCCAGGGACTTCCAGGTTGACTGCAGTTTGACTGGTAGGCCCGCTGACATGGTCCTGCCCTGTCCCGAAGTTCTTAGGGCAGGGAGAGGCTGAAAGCACAGAATTGTACTCCTGTCTCCATCGCTACCTGTTAAGCGGTCTTAAACCACAGAAGCTCCAGTTGTGGAACAAGGAATTGCCACACTTCAGTTCATGCTGTGGATCAGCAATTTCTGTTTCTTTTATTGTTGTTTATTTGGGGCAAAGGGTCAGAAATTCTGTAGAAGTTCAACCTGTTAAAAAAAAAAAAAAAAAAAATTTTGCTTTTGTCTGCATAATGACTCATGTGATGTTGCAGCAGGGCGCAGAGATCAGCTGACAGTCGCACACGATTACTTTCTATATTTTAATGATAGTCTTCAAATGAAATTTGAAAAATTCCTCGTTTACCATCTCTGATGAATGCGTGGCACCCCAGAGGCTGATGGAGACGTCTGTGATACATTTGCGTCGGGATGGGTAGTGGCAAGCTGTTTCTCACGTTCATCCTTGAGGCCCTACTAAGCCTGAGAGACGCCTGCCTGTCTGTTGTTTGCTCATTAGGAGTTGATGATACACCAACCAGAGGGCTGCACCCCGGCAGGATGTAAAAATTCTGAAGAAACAGGTTTGCCTCTGCACCGATTCCTCCTCAGCAGTGTGACGCTCTTGCCAGAGTCTGTACGGAGCTCCCGTGTTCTGTCAGATGGTTTTTGTTCTTTAATTTCTTCCCCTTAAATAATATTTCACTTTTTTATCGGGGCATATACTCTGATTTCACAGCTTCTCTTTGAGTGTCTGACTTGGCTTCCTAAGGCGATGTCTTCGGAGTAAACTCCCCCAGACATCAAGCAGAGATTGGGACACATTTGTATTTTGACTGACAGTTTTCTTTACACCCTGTACACAAGTACAGAAATGTCACCAAATGAAATCAAAGGCAATAAGCACTTTTTATCTATTTTGCAACTGATATATAAAAACAAACCATATTAATGGGGTACCATGAATTTTTTTTTTTGGGTGGGTGGAGTACCAGGGATTGAACTAAGGGGCACTCGACCACTGAGCCACATCCCCAACCCTATTTTGTATTTTGAGACAGGCTTTCACTGGGTTGCTTAGGGTCTCGCTTTTGCTGAGGCTGGCTTGGAACTCGGGATCCTCCTGCCTCAGCCTCCTGAGTCACTGGGAGTACAGGCGTGCACCACCGTGCCTTGCCCATGGAATGTTTTGGTATGTGTGTTTACTGCGTAATGTTTAAAGCAGGTTAAACTTGTGTCTCCTCAAATATTTATCATTGTTTATGGTGAAACCATTCAACATGCTTTCTTGTAGCTTTTGGAAACATACACTGCATTATTATCTGCAGTCACGCTGCTGTGCATGGGCATCTCAGAACTTGTCAGTGTAAATTATACCCATTAATCAGCCCTTCCCACCCTGCTGTCCCTGGCCTCTGGTCATCACAGCTGTGCTATCGAGTCCCATGCAATCAACTTTTAGATAGCGCCTATCGGTGAGACCAGTTGGTACTTGACTCCCTGTGCCTGGGTTATTTTCATTCAACCTGATGGTCTTCAGTTCAATCCATGTTGTAGCAAATGGCAGGGTTCCATTGTTAACGGCTGAATAGTATCTTATTTTCCCTTACCAGTGGAAGGACATTTGGGTTGTTGGACTTTTGGCTATTGGAAGTAGTGCTTCACTAAACATAGGGGTGTGGGTGTCCCTTTCACCTACTGATTTCATTCCTGGTGGTGGTACATGTCCAATACTGATTATATTTTTTAATTTTTGAGGAACTTCCATACTGGTTTCCGCCATGGCTGTAGCAGTTTACGTTCCCCCCAGCCAGTGTGCAAGGGCTCCCTTTTCTCCCCATTTTCGCCAGCACTTGTTGGAATAGAAGCATTTTGGCTTAGTTTGGGTGGGTTTGCTGGCTTGGTTTTTATATAATCACATAATTATAAAACCTGACATCAGACGTTAACTGCCGTCGTGTGTATGAGAGCGTGGGTGGTGGTTTCAGTCCTCTCCAAAAGAATGCAGACGTGAAAACGCAGGCAACGTCCTGAGAGTTTTGACTGATGGCTTATCGCTTCTTCTCTCCTCGCAGAGGGTGGCTCCCGCTTTGTAAAGACCTCATCGCCGCGAGGTGAGGCTAAGATGAGCATTACCAGTGACGAGGTGAACTTTCTGGTGTATCGGTACCTCCAGGAATCAGGTAAGGGGTTTGGTTCTCTGTCGGGAGGAAATTCGCCTTCAGTGTGCCGCGGGTGGAATGCCCAGCCGTTGGTGGAAGGGTAACAAGGAGGGCTAACGGTGCTCTTTGTGCGAGAGTTAGTGGGGAGGAGAGAAGGTCCTGGGGCCATCTCATTCCCAGGCTGGAATGCGATGCTATCCCCATGATGTTTCTGTTCAGGTGAAATGAGACCCAAGTGAACCTCAAGAGAACTTGTGATAAACATGGAGAGGGTCAGGAGCAGTTTGTGCCCCTGGTCTCCACTATGGTGAGAACATTGACCCACTGGGGTGTTGATTTGAACCTTGTAGATCTGACACCAGAGACTTATGGAGCGAAAGAGGAAGGGCCCAGGGTCCTTCAGGATGGGATGCACCTCCAAAGACCTAGCTTCCTCCCACTGGGGCCCCCCCTTCTTCAACACTCCACCACCTTACCTAGTATGTGGGCCTTTGGAGACATCTTAGATCTAGATGACAGCATGATCCTCTGCTTAACAATGTGGTCACCTCCCTCAAATGCACCCTTAGTTGAAAATGCACTTCATACCTATAGCCTAAGCTACCGAACACCATAGCTTAGCCTAGCCAATCTGAATGCTGTAACCTGTTTGCTTATATTATATGGTGGTCGCATCCTGATAAACTCATCAAAAGTAGAAAACATCCTGACCTGAAACTGCATGGACTGTACCTGGCCTGCAAGCCCCCTAGCTCAGACATTGCATGTGTACCTACCGATCCTGGGGCTGCCCGGAGGTGCCGCATCTGAGAATCAGAAGTGCAGCAAGAACTCAAGATCCCAGGGCAAAGTCTGAAACACAGTTTCTCCTGAATGTGTAAGGCGCGTGTGCTGTTGTCAAGGTCCAAAGATAAGTCGAAGCATTGTCAGCCCGGACCCGTCTGTGCTAGGTTTAAGGAGGAACCAGCTGATCGGCACCTGGACCCAGGCTGAAAGAGAGAATGGGCAGGCATCGATGCAAAGAAAATGGCTCAAACCCTGAGCATATTACGTAGCGTCGGTTTTTGAGCCTCGGTTTCCCCTAGAAAAGTGGTTCTCCCAGGCAAAAGTGATAGTTGGTGGGACATGTAGCATGTTTTAAATGAAATCCCTCTCTCATCCAAGCTTGGGACTTTTTATTTGGAATCCCAGCTAGCACTGTTCATGGTGATGCATGTTCTTGGTACATATTTGAGCGTTTGGCTCGGCTGTTGCCAGAGCATGGTATCAGAAAGTGATATAGAAACAAAGTATACTGCCTGAGCTGTGGGGACCACACTCTCACACCTCAGAACTTGCAGGAGTTGTCCACCTGGAGCACAGGTGTTCTCCTATCACAGAACTCAGACCCCCTGAGCTGCCTGCAGGTGAGAAACCCCACGTACCGTGTCGTGCTTCCCTCGTGGTACTTGCATGATACTTTGCGTTTAGAAATATCTCTGTGCGAGGGTATATTGATGGTAGGGACAGGGAGTGTGTGACAACAAGCCGAGTTTGTGAATGTCAGGCAGGAAAGAGAGTCTGTTACCTGGGGGCAGCTGCTGTGCTGGTGGTTGGCCCCACGTCCGGGGCAGGAGCGCTTCGCGCCCTCTTTCCATAAACACAGAGATCTCCCTCCCTCCTGCAGGAAGGCTGGCCTCCTCGTGTCGTGTTTGTTTACACTTCTCCTGTTTATTTTTATAAAGCTTCTATGACCAGGCAGCAAGGGAACTGAGACTGGGACAGAGCAGGGTGTCCAGAATTTCCAAAGTGTCACTGCTGTATAATGTCTGTTGAATTCTTTTCCTAATTATTCACCAACATCCAAGTTACTTTCCAGTAGGTGTGGCCCGTGTTTAAGGAGAGATTGCTTTGATGGAATTCTTGTGTGTATTCTGGAATTTTTTTAAATGCACCACAAGGAAGAAGCAGGAGAAGAAATGGCTGGTGTTTAAGTGGACATTATTGGGTTGGTTTTCTGTTTATCTCAAATTCTAAGGTTTAGTTAAGCCCATAGTTGATGATCCTCCACCAACTTGAAGAGCACCTTCTCCCCCACCTGTGAGAAGAAAATCATTTCCTTGATCCGCTCCCCCTCAGTCACCTGAGCGCACGCTCGCCTTCAATACCACCACACGCGTTAAAAATCAGTCTTGCCTCCCAGTGAGTGGTCCTCGGCTCCTCCAGAGCCACTGAACTGCTCAGGTCCTGCTCATCTGCAGGATGAACCAGGTGCCATTTCTGTCCACCACCCTTCTCCTCCATCTTCTCTTTCCTTCCCATTCCCCAAATATCCAGGGTGTCATTTGGGATGATTTAGGCTGCAAGGAAGAGAGGATTCCATGTCATGGAGCATACACTTCCCAGCAAGGAAGCAGGATATTGAAGGCTGCTTTTTTTTTTCGAGAGGGCCTTGCCTCTCCAGAGCGCTCAGTCCATGTTCTTGATGTGCAGCATCTCCCCGCAGCACATTCCCAGCAGTCTGGAAGAGGAACGGGGTTAAGAAGCAAGACCTTTAGATGAAACAGTAGCAGCATTTGAACTAGCAGCTTCAGTACCAGAGAGGCTGCGCTTGGTTTTGCTCAAGTCCCGGCACCCTGGCTTGCTCGGTGAGGGTCTCGCTGCCTCTGGGCGCTGTTTGTGAAGCCCACGGTGTACCGTTTTTTGGAGTGTAGGTCTGTAGATTTTGCAAAACGTAGGTAGGTCACGAGACCAACCAAGACAGAGATTCTGTTGCTCTTCCCCAATTTTCCCAGGTTCCCGAGTCATCCACGCCAGCCCCAGGCAGCCATCATTGTTTTCTGTCCGTCAGGTTTTGCTTCTGTAGCAACGCTGTGGGCATGGAGTCGCAGGGTACATAGTCATAGTCTCCTTCCTTCGGTGCAAGGCCCTTGAGGCTTGTTTGTGCGGTTGCATGTATCAGCCGTGTGTGGATTCTTTATGACTAAGTAATATTCCCTTTTGAAGGCTGTATGACAGTCTGCTTGTCCATCCCCTGTTGAGGAACATTGAGTTCTTTTTGCATGTAAGGTTTTCTGTGTGGACAGAGGTTTTTGTTTACCTTGAGGAAGTGCCTAGGAGTGGGATTGCTGGGTCCTGTGGTAGGTGTAGGTTTAGCCTTATCAGAAGCCACTGGGTGTTTTTTTTTTTCTTCTAAGGCAGAAGCAAGACGCTTTCTAAACACGGAGGTTTATAGAAGGGACAGGAGAGACGCCCTGAAGAGTAGGTAAAAGGACTTTTATCCAGCACTTGTATTTGTAGGATATTGATGACGTCTGGTACTTCCTCTTTGGATTCTGAATCAGGGTCCTAGCTTCCACACAGTGACCAGTTGAACTTTCCGCACCAAAGAAAAACTGGCCAGGCGTGATGGCGCACTCCTGTAATCCCAGCTGCTCAGGAGGCTGAGGCAGGAGGACTGCAAGCTTGAGGTCAGCCTCTGCAACCTAGTGAGACCCTGCCTCAAAATAAAAAGGGCCGGGGGTGTGGCTGAGTGTAGAGGGCTTGCCAAGCGTGTGCAAGGCCTGGGTTTGCTGCAGCCGGCCCAGCTGTTTGGATCAGCCAGAACATGAGGCTGGGTTCGGCACACCACTAGGAGCACTCGGGAATAAACCCCGTGAAGGTTCTGGTAACAACGCCAGTGAAAATCAACCCGTGAGAAATGGAGTTTCACTGAGGCCTTGCCCAGTGCAGAGAGGTTGCCCACTTACACGCTCCAACAGCTGTCACTTAAACATCTTGGATACTGAAAGAGTTGGCCACCATGATAATGGAGTTCATTTCTTATATATATGGTAAGTCACTCCGAGGCTGACCCACCTTCTTCACTGTGATAATCTGAAGACCCTCCGTAGGACTGACCACAGCACCCGTGTTGGAGTGCGTGTTCGGATTTGTCGTGATTCTCAGCAAAGAGGCCATTCGTTGTGCATCTTTATCGCCTGCATTGACGTCACCATCTTCACATTATTTGGAACCGGCTATTGTTCGTTTTTGAGAGCAAATGCCTACACCCTGGACACATGCCGTGTTCCTCAAGAGCTGATGTCCAAATGTGAGACAAGATATATGGAATGAGTTTTTTTTTCTTCACAAGGTTGCTATTATGTACCGTCCTTGTTCCTAAGAGGTAGTTGCTGTGATCCCAACATTTGTGTTCTGCCCCGAATTCACGTTAAAATCCTAACTCCGGAGGTGCAGGTGTTGGAGGTGGGGTTCTGGCAGTGCCGAGTTCGCGAGGTGCAGCCCATGAATGAGACGCGTGTCCTTATGAAACAGGCCCAGGGAGCTCCATGTGAGGACCCAGGAGAAGGCACCAGAAGGAAATTCTGGCCCATGGTATGTAACAGATGAATCTTGAGGAGGTTGTGCTCAGAGAAGTCGACTGGTCGCAAAGTGTAAATGCTGATTGGTTCCCTTATAAGAGGTACACAGAGTAGACGAATCCCCCCTGCGGAGAGGCAGAATGGTGGTTGCCAGGGGCTTGGGGACAGGAGTTTTTCAGTTTTGCAGAAGGAATAGGTTTGGTGGTGGGGATGGTTGGACAGCAGGGTGCATGTCTTCCATGCCACTTGAAAATGGGTAGAATGGTTTATTTTGTGTTGTGTATTTTAACTCTGTTTTTTGGGGGAAAAGTCTTATAGCAAGAACGTTAATGTGCAGATTGTTTGAATTTGGAACACTTGTCTAGAAAGGAGGAGAAAGGGTTCACCTCAATGCCACAGGAGTATTAAGGGTTTAACAGGAACTCTTTAAGTGCGTGGTATGCACAGGTGTTTGTAAGCTCAATCTGTCTGACATTATGAGTATCTTAAACATAGAACAGAAAATGATATTACTTGTAATAGCACTCACCACAAAGGTTGCCACGCCCTTTGGTGGGTGATAGATTAACCCAATTGTGGCACATCCACACTATGGAGTACTATTCAGCCATGAAAAGGGATGAGCTTTATTGACACAGGCAGAAAGATGGATGAGTCTTCCTAGTACTGGTGTCAGGA